GGGCGGGGCGCCGCTAAGCGGACCGCCCTCACTGGGACCGCAGATGGGACTTCACACGGGGGCACGGCCGGTGAGAACGGCGAGACGAGTCATGGAGAGGAAGATGAGCGTGAGAGGGGGCCTATGCGAGACGCGCGGCGCTGCGGATTCAAAGCGAGGACCGACCAGCACAGGAGGGTTGGGAATGACGATGGGGAGGGCGAATGTCCCCGATGAGGGAGAAAGAGAGAACATGAGGATTAGCATGCACACGGGGAGCAAGGGAAAGAGGCTGAACAAGAACCCTGCGTTGCCAACCCACTAACTGCGGCGGAGTGGGAGTCCAGACGGACATGGCGAGCAATGAGAGAACGTTGTTACTCAAGATGAGCGGCTCCATCACCTTCGAGAAGGGCATGAACACCTCGGCCCATCGGTCTCTGCGCCGTACGTAGAGGCCGGTGCTCTCTACCACCACACGGTCGGAAAACGATGTTGCGAGTCCAGTTCCCCACTGCTGAAAAGCAACCCTGAACTGCCCACCAAGTCAGCATTCCCTGCACGGAGACAGAGTGCCGATCCCCCCCACCAAACACCCAGGCACACACACACACACGCACACATGCACACGCACAAAAACACGCACACACGCACGCACGCACGCACGCACGCACGCAAACACTCAAACACGCACGCACGCACGCACGCACGCACGCACGCACGCACGAACACAAACACATACATACACATACACATACACATACACATACGCTTACACATACACATGCACATTCACATTCACATTCACATACACATACACATACACGCACACCCACACCCACACACACACGCACACACACACACGCGAACGCGCACGCGCACGCGCACGCGCACGCGCACGCGCACGCGCACGCGCACGCGCACTCGCACGCGCACGCGCACGCGCACGCGCACGCGCACGCGCACGCGCACACGCACACGCACACGCACACGCACTCGCACACGCACTCGCAGACACAAACGCACACGCGCACGCGCACGCGCACGCGCAAGCGCAACAGACAACGCCCAGCACATAACACACAACACACAGCTAACAACACGCACCACACACCACACAGTACTCACACAGCACACACCACACACCAGAAACCACACACCACACACCACCCAACACACAAACCACAAAACACACCACAAACCACACACCACACCACACACCACACACCACCCACGCACCCAAGCACCCACGCACCCACGAGTCCACGCACCCAGCACCAAAGCACCCAAGCACCCACGCACCCACGCAACCACGCACCCACGCACGCATGCACCCACGGACCCACGCACCCACGAACCCACGCACCCACGAATCCACGTAGCCACGCCCCAACGCACACACGCACAAACGCACACACGCACACACACGCACACACCCACACACCAACACACCCACCACTCACTCACTCACCCACCCAACCGCCCACCCACCCACATACCCACACACACACACACCCACACACCCACACACCCACCCACCAACTCACCCAGCTCCACTCCAAACCCCAAACCAGCCTATCCCACCCCACCCCCACCCCTCAGCCCCCAACCCCCACCACCCGCCCCCACCCCCACTTCCTGAGCCCCTCCCCACCCCTCCCACCTCATCCCCACCCCACCCCACCCCCACCGCACCCCAACCGCCCCCCTCCCACCCCACAGCACCCCACGCACCCCACGCGCACCAAAACCCCCACCCCACCGCGCACCGCACCGCACCGGACCGCACCCCACACACACCCATGCACCCCCTCTCTCCCACCCAGCCCTCCAACCCCCCCCAACCCCCCACCCATCCACTCACCGCACCCGCACCCCTTACGCATCCGCAAACTCGCACACACGCACAACGCAAACGCGCGCACGCGCTACGCGCACCGCGCATGTGCAACACGCACACGCGCAACGCGCCACGCGCACGCGCACGAGACACAAAGACGCATGACGCAAAACACGCCACGCCGCACGCACTCACGCACACCACACGCACGCGCACAGCGCAACCGCGCCACGCGCACGCACTACGCACACGCGCACGCGCACGCGGCACGCGCACATACAAACGCACACCACGCCACACACACACCCACACAAAACATAACCAAACACCCCACACAAAACACACACACACCCACACATATCACCACACATTCACACACACACGCACGCACGCACGCACACGCACACGCCCACACGCCCACGCCCACACGCAAACGCACACGCACACGCACACGCACACGCACACGAACACCGACACCCACACCCACGCGCACGCGCACGCGCATCGCACGCACACGCACACGCGCACGCACGCACGCACGCACGCACGAGCACACACACACACACACGCACATACACACACACGCACACACAACACCCACAACACACGCAACACACAACACTCACCACACACACACACACAACAACACACAACAACAACAATACCAACAACAACAACACCAACAACAACAACAGCAACAACAACGACAACAACAACACCAACAACAACAGCACCAACAACAACAGCACCACCAACAACAACAACAGCAGCAACAACAACACCAACAACAACAACAACAAGAACAACAACAAAACCAACAACAACAACAACAACAACAACAACAACACCAACACCAACACCAACACCAACACCAACAACAACAGCAACAACAACACACACAAACACCAACACACAACAACACAACACACACCAGCTCACACACACACACACACTCACACACCGACACAACACACCACACACAACACACAACACGCACAAACACGCACAACCACACACAAACGCACACAAACACACACAAACACACACACACACACTCACACAGACACACTCTCACACACACACATGCACCCACACGCACACGCACACGCACACGCATATGCATACACGCAGACGCATACACCCACCCATACAACCACCAACACCCACACCCACACCCACACCCACACCCACACCCACACCCACCTACACCCACCCACACCCACCCACACCCACATACACCCGCCCACCTACACACCCACACACCCACACACACCCACACGTTTCACATCCACACACCCACGCACCCACGCACCCACACACCCACACACCCGCACACCACAAGGGAAACAACACAAGCACCCACACACATCCACAACACCCACACACCCACACGCACACACACACACACCCCACACAACCCACACATGACCCACACACACCCACACACATCCACACACCCACACACACCCACTCCACCCTCACAACCCACAAACACCCAGTAACCCACACACCCACACACCACCCACAACCCATACACCCCACACACCCCGACACCCCCCACACCACCCGCACCCCCGCACCCGCCACACCCCCAAACCCCATACCCCCATACCCCCATACCCCCACACCCCACACCCACACAACCCCACAACCACCCACACCCCAAAGGACCCCCACACCCCCACACCCCCAACCCCCACCCACACCCGCACGCACGCACGTAACGTACGCACGCACGCACAATATTCTCCGGTAGTTGAAAAAGAAGCCAGAGCTTGTGTCAGTGCTTGTGCCGATGTGTTCCTCCTGATGCCCTTCTCTGTCGTTGCCCTGAGACTGGCCCTCCTCTCGGGTCAGACGGAAGCGGAGGGTACCAAGGGTTAGGTTGCTCCCGTCGCACTTAAGGACCACATCCCAGAAATAAGTTCGAGCACCCAGAAACGTTTTGAAACAGTTTCGAACGCGTATCGCCTCCCAGGGCCCGACACGTGAAAACCCTGAAGCTTCGGTACTTGCTCGGTGCTCGAAATTCTCTCTGGTGCTCAAGGGTAAAGTCGGTTGGGACATGTCATAGACCAAGGGAGCGGCCAAGAGGGGGGTGTCCAAGAGGGGGGGGTGCAAATCATGACCGACGGCATGTGCGCGGCCCAGCGGGGGGGCCAGGGACGTAATGAAACAAGAAGAGGCGCCATGAAATCTGGGGAAATATCATGACCCCCGCCATGATATCCACTCCCCCCTAGTCATCAGCCCCCTCTTTTCCGCCCCCGAATAGACCAAGGGAGGGGGTTGGGGAATCGGCCCACGCAGCTGGCTTCCCCGGCGCCTCCTGGCGCCGGTGCGCCGAGTGAGGCGCCTGGCAGCGGAGCCGAAACCAGCGGCAGGCAGCAGATTTCGTATCCCCCTCTTTTCATATCCCCCCCTCGTCGTCGTCGTCGTCGTCGTCGTCGTCGTCGTCGTCGTCGTCGGTCGTCGTCGTCGTCGTCGTCGTCGTCGTCGTCGGTCGTCGTCGTGGTCGTCGTCGTCGTCGTCTCTCTGGCTTTCGGGTCATCATTCGGGTCTCCGGCAGCCGTCCGGGACGATCGGAACGCCCTCGGCGAAAGGACCCCTTGTGGGACGCCCTCGGCGGCGACACTGGGGAAATCAAAAGGTACCGATACCGCTACTCCCCGGACCTCTCCAGGGGTGCGTTTCGACCAGAACTTCGAGGCGACTCCAGCGGTGGCGACGAGAACCTCCCAGGAGGCCGAACAAGGGGGAAACGGGCGAATGGTAGCGGGATGGCATCCTTTCCTCCTCTGATAGGAGGCCTGGACGGTGACCCCCCGCGAAGGGCGGGCCTCGGGGTGGCCGATCACCCCCGGCGCCAGGTCCGCTTCTGCACTGTGCGATGCTCGGCCCCTTTCGGGGAGGCCTGGACGGCGACCCCCCGCGAATGGAGTGTCAAAAACGCCATAACAGAAGCGTTTGGCGCTCTGCGCGGATTTCTTGGATCTGCGAGGGGCGGCGCCCGAGGCGCCGCCAGGGGGGGCCCGGCGCGGATCCAAGAAGCCGGCGCGGAGCGCCGAAGGTTTCTGTTTGTGGCATTTTTTCGTCTTCGAGCGAAGGGTGGGCCCCCCGCGCAGAAGGTGAACGCGCTCGGTGATGGAAGGCGGCCTTCCCGGGAAGGGCGGGCCTCGCGCAAGAGCGACCCTGGATAAGAGTGACCTTTGGGGCGGCTGGTTTTTTTTTTGTTTGTTTTTTTTCATTATTTTTTTTTTTATTTCTTTTCTTTTTTTTTTTTTTTTTTTTTTTTTTTTTTTTTTTTTTTCTTTTTTTTTTTTTTTTTTTTTTTTTCTTTTTGTTTTTTTTTTTTTTACTTTTTTCTTTTTTTTTTTTATTTTTTTTTTTTTTTTTTTTTTTTTTTTTTTTTTTTTTTTTTTTTTTTTTTTTTTTTTTTTTTCTTTTGTTTTTTTTTTTTTATTTTTTTTTATTGTTTTTGTTTTTTTTCCTTTTTCTTTTTTTAGCTTTTGGGGCCGCGGAGCACCAAAACACTAGCGCGCAAAAGGCTACTATTGCATCGCGTTCGGCGATCGGGGGGTCCCGTTGAGCCCGCACCAAAGGTCACTCCGGCGTGGGGTCACTCTTACGTGTAGCCGAGCTGGGCGAGCCTCGGGGTGGCCGATCACCCCTGGCGCCAGGTCCGCCTCTGCGCGGGGGGGGAGGGGGGCAGGCCGCGAGGAGGCGCCGGGGAGGGAGCGGCGGGCCGCGGGCGCCCTTCGGGTGCGGCCTCGTTCTCGACCCTCCTCCATCCATTCTCCTCCATCCATCCCTCCTCCTCTTCCTTCTCCTACTTCACCTCCTCCTCCTCCTCCTCCTCCTCCTCCTCCTTCTCAATCCCTCCTCCTCCTCCTCCTCCTCCTCCTCCTCCCTCCTCCTCCTCCTCCATTCCTCTTCCTCCTTCCTCTCCTCCCTCTCCCTCCTCCTCCTCGCCTTCCTCCCTCCACCCTCCTCCCTCCTCCCTCCTCCCTCCTCCCTCTCCTCCTCCCATCCTCCGCCTCCTCCCTCCTCCCCCCTCCATCCTCCCTCCTCCCTCCTCCCTCCTCCTCCTCCCTCCTCCCCTCCCTCCTCCCTCCTCCTCCTCCCTCCTCCCTCCTCCCTCCTCCCCCTCCCCTCCCTCCTCTCTCCACGCCTCGGATCCGCCCTCCTCCCTCCTCCCTCCGCCCTCCTCCCTCTTCCCAACTCCCTCCTCCCTCTTCCCTCCTACTTCCTACCTCCCTCCTTCCCCGCCTCCTCCTCCTCCCTCCCTCCTCCTCCTCCCGCCTCCCTCCTCCCCCTCCCTCCTCCCCACCTCCCTCCTCCCTCCTCCCTCCTCCCTCCTCCCTCCTCCCTAACAAACCGCCCCTCTCCCTCCTTCGCTCCTTCGCTCCTCCCTCCCTCGCTCCTCCTCCTCCTCCTCCTCCTCCTCATCCTCCCTCCTCCTCCTCCTCCTCCTGCGCCTGCTCCTGCTCCGCCCCTCCTCCTCCCTCCTCTCCTCCTCCTACCTCCTCCTCCTCCCGTCCTACCTGCCTCCTCATCCTCCTCCTCCTCCTCCGCCTCCTCCCCCTCTCCTACGCATCCTCCTCCTCCTCCTCCTCCTCCTCCTCCTCCTCCTCCCCCTTCTCCTCCCCCATCCTCCTCCTCGAGGTCTGGAGATTGACTTTGGGAGGCTCCGCCCCGTTGGTTGGCCTGCATGGCGGCGGTCAACATCCGTCGGTTGCGTGGGGTGGTTTGGGTGGGTGCGAGGATCCTTGAACCCCAACCATCCGGTCTGGTGCTGGGAGGCTGTCCCCTGAGGCGCTTGAAGAATGGCCAACGTAATCTTGCTCGTATTCCCCATTGCCGCCACCCCTGCCCGCAAGCCGCAAGGGGCTCCTGAGGCGACCCTGGCTGCACTGCGATTTCTGATCTCAGAGTAAGAGTCGGCTACTGTGTCGGCGGTGTCCTGCCTGTGCGTGGACGGGAAAGCGCTCACGGTACCCTGGCCTGACCCAGGGGCCGAACACGACGCCGGATCCAGGAGGATCTTTTGCCCTCCCACCCGCCCGAGCCAGCCCGAGGGCTGCCTTTCTACCATCGCGCCCCCAGGGCCCACTCTGACCCCCGACCATCAGCATCAGCAGGATGCGCGGGAGGCTCTGTGGCATCCTTGCCGTTGTGCACTCCTCTGTGCCCCAACAGGCTCCTCGCCTTGTCCAACACTCTGCGCCCTTCCACTTGCTGTTTTTCACACACGCACACTGCTGGTCTATCCTGGGGGTTGCTCGAGCTCTGCGTTCCGATCTGTTTTTTGCTCGGGGCTCGCGGCCATCCAGGCCCGACGGCTCACGCCCGCCAACGATTGTGTAACGAGAGGTGGATGAGGAGAGCGGATGAGGATGAAGAGGGTGGATGAGGATGGGGGTTGATGAGAGGGTTGATGAGTAGGAAGGTGGATGAGGAGGGGACTCAGGGCCCCTCCGAGGATGATCGAGGAGGGGGAGTCCTGAGCATCGGGGATTAAGATGGAAGCGCATCGACGAGGGGACCAGGGACGACCACTGTCTGGCACCCGAACAAGGGAGGAAGAGGCTAGCCGTCAAAGGCAGCGGAGGCAGAGCTTCGGAATGTGGACAAGCCCTGGCAAGTGATCAAGCTACGATTCGCTCGCATCGTATTTTGAAATTCTCTTGGGATACTCTGTGTCCCTCAATAGTTCTGGGTCCCCGGACTACTGGTACCCCCTGGACTACAGGTACCCCTTCCGTACACCCCCCCGGACTACAGGTACCCCCACCCAGACTACAGGTACCCCCCCGGACTACAGGTACCCCTCCCCGGACTACAGGTACCCCCCCCCCGGACTACAGGTACCCCCATTTGCAGCAGCGTGTGTTCGCGCGTGTCAGCGCGCGTGCGCGTGCGCGTGACGCGTGCAACGATGCGCGTGCAGTCCCGCGCGCGCAGACACCCGCGCGCCGAAACCCGTGCGCGTGGAGCCACGCGTGCTTCGACAAATAACATGCGTGCCCCCCCCCGGACTACAGGTACCCCCCGCGCGGCCCCACCCCCAGACTATAGGTACCCCCCCGGACTACAGGTACCCCCGGACTAGGACTACGGGATACCGCCCCCGGGACCTACTGACCCCCCCCCCCCCCCCTGGACTACAGGTACCCACCCCGCACTACATATACCCCCATTGAGGGACACAGAGTAATCCGAATCGCCATGATCTCGCACTACGCCGCCAAGCCCTCATCGTAGTCAGGAGCAGGGAGAGGGCGGGAGAAGAAGGGGAGGGGGAAGATGAGGGGAGACACTAACATTAGGTCGGGCATGCCCCCCTACAGGCGGATTTTGAACGAGGAATAGAACATAGTCAACACATGCTCAACAATAGTCACAGATAGTGAAAACATCGTCCCCATACTTTTTCAAATACTATTTCTGAGTATTCTTCCTGTAGAGGGACAGGCCCGGCTTAACACTAAGACTACTGTAATACAGCCACCGTGCTGCCGCAGAGAACGCCACACAGGAACGCATGGGGCTTTTCTGGCCACGGCGGGCTTCGGCGAAGAATAGGCCCACCGACGCACGGCGGAGGAACGACTCAAACCATGGGTTGTACCTCGGCGTCTCGACTGCACGATGCGCCGAGCACGTGGACCGACAGGCGGCGTGCCAAAGTGGGTAGAAGCATGAAATAGAACGGCGTTGGAAGTGGGTCGGGTTCCGCCCGCCCCCTGGGGACCCTGAAGACGAGGGCAAAGAGACAGCCACAGCCACTCGATGATTCCATTAGGAAGGTGCTCAAAGTAGACTGGAATCTGGGAAGTGGAAAATACATCCTTTCAATGACATGTGCATACGCCCTTCCTCCTCAGATCCCCCGTCCGCGCACCTGCTGTCGCACCTGCACCTACCGCTGCCATCGATTCTCCTCTGCTGACCATCATCCCTCCTCCCGCTCCGCCTCCTCTTCCTCGTCCTCCTCCTTTTCGTCGTCATCCCCCTGCTCCTCCAGCCTCCCTCCTCCTCTCCTCCCCTCTCCATCCTCCTCCCTCCGTTCCTCGCCCATCCTGGAACGTTGTTGCATGTTTTTCGTATCTGACCTGACATGTTTTGGCCTCAGGAAATCTCCCTGGGGGCCTCCTGGGGACTCCTGGGACCTCTGAAGAACTCTGGCGGCCTCTGCAACCCTCCTCCTCCTTGCCGAGGAGGGAGAACTTCCTGACGAAAACGGGTCGTGGACCCCAGGGCTCTCACGAGGACGAGCTCGTCAAACCGAGCACGAGCTTGACGGTCCCGGGGCCCGTAGAGGTCGCCGGGGAGCCCGAAAACGGCGAGAGACGTCCAGGACTCCTTTCCTGCAGGACACCTCTCCTCCTTCCTCCCCCTCCCCCTCCTCCTCCCTCCACCTCCTCCCCCTCCTCCTCCTCCTCCTCCCCCTCCTCCCCCTCTTCCCGCCTCCTCCTCCTCCTCCACCTCCTCCTCCTCCTCCTCCTCCTCCTCCCCCCACCTCCTCTCCCTCCACCTCCTCCCCTCCTCCTCCTCTCTCCTCCCTCCCCCTCCACCTCCCTCCCCCTCCTCCTCCTCCTTCCTCCCAGTCCTGACTACTCGGTCGGGCCCGTTCGCTCGCTCTGCTCTGGGTCCCTGGGTCCGCCCCTCGTCTCGGCCCCGGCCCCGCCGGGCCCTCTCTCGCTCGGGCGTGGACGGAGTCAGCGCAGGGACTCCAGCCCGCGCGCAAACAGACTCCCCCGCCCTCCCAGGCAGTGCCAACGGAGTCGCACGACGGCCTCCGCCTCCTCCTCCTCCCACCTCCTCCTCTTCCTCCCCCTCCTCCTCCTCCTTCTCCCTCCCCCTCCTCCTCCCTCCTCCTCCTCCTCCTCCTCCCTACGTTTCTACGTTTCTCGCTATGCAGCGTCTTGTCGCGCGCCCCGCGGGCGCGGAGCGCTCTGCAGCGGCCCTCCAGGGCCGTGCGGGCATTCAGACAGCGGCCCCGGGAACCCGACCCCGAGGAAAGCAGGGAGCCAGGGACCAAATAATCACAGAGAAGGGAGAAGGGGGGCCGGGTTTCAGCAAAACTAAAAAGATGAGGGCCCGTCTGAGCCCTCAGCGGGCGCCGCGCTCGCCCGTGCCAGCTCAGCCAGCTCGGCGCGCAGCCAGGCCTTCGGCCTCTTTGTGGGCGGTCGGCCTCTTGTGTGGCGGCTGGGCTCCCTTCGGCGCCTCGCGCTGAGCCCAGCCGCCAGGTCCTCAGATGGATGGCCGCCTTCTCTGCGGCGGCCTCCACCCTTCGGCGCTTAGCGCTGTGGAGGCCCGCCGAGCCTCTCTTGGACTCCGGCGGCTCTGCAGCAATCTCCTCGCCTGCCACGCGAGGGCGGTGGGGAGACACCCTTCGGCGCCAGTCGCTGTGTCTCCCTCACCGCGGGGCAGGCTGCCCCTTCTGGTCGAGTACTCCATGGCTTGTAATTCTCCATGGTGACTGACGCTGTATACTTCCAGTACTGCCTGACGTTGCAGAGCTGCTCCATATAGAGCTTGCGCTTGTAGGGCTCCATGTAGAGCTGCGGTGCTGCCGTCGTCAGTCATGACCCCCCTGCTTTTGAGGTGCAGGGGGGTGCTGATCACGGATGTTGTAGATGTCGATGTACGGGGGCTGAGTGCAAGATGTGGAGCGAGTTGGACGGTCGTTGGGGGTCGGTTCGTTGCTGGTGTTGAGTTGGTTGTGGGCTACCAAGGCCTCCATGCACCGACTTCAAGTGGGGGTCGTTGCTGTCCCACCTCGTCCCGCTATGGCTAGGGGTCACGGTGCCCTCGGTGGGGGCGAACCCCAGGCCTGGTACTTGTTATCGTCGGAGTGGGGTGTCTCGGCTGTCCAGCTTCGCCCTCGGGCGATCGGGTAGCTCCTCCTTCTCCATGGGAATGGAGGGGGTGGCGAGCTAGGGCGGACCGCGGGGGCGCAGGTACCGCGGGGGCGCAGGTAGTGGCCGTCCTACCCCCCCCCCCCTGCCCCTCACCATCCCCGCTGGCGGGCGCGGGAAGTACTCGTCCTTCCCCCCCAGCCCTTCGAGCCCGTCTCGAAGTTTGATCCTCACCAGGGCAGCGTTGACTTGGCAGGAGTTGTGTGGGGTCGTGCTGGGTATGCTGTCGATGTCGGTCGGTGGTACGCTGGCGGCCAATGGGCCGCCCGCTGCCAGCCAGCTGGCGCCATCCAAATTGTAGATATCCAGTCGCCGCCGGGGTGCACAACAAAACGTGGCGACTTGTGCCTGGGGCGTTCCCTCGCATTCGGGGCTTCCCCAGGACTTGCGTTCTAACCATAGCAAAACTTGGCGACGCTGCCTGAGGTCTTCCCACGCATTCGGGGCTTCCTCAGGACTTAAGCAGCACACCGTAATGCCTTGTCCAGGGCGCAAGCTAATCATAGAAATAAATGCCAATGTTCGGAAAGTCGCTAAATCCAGAAAGTGCTCGAGGGGGGGGCACGCTCCGTCGCCATTGAGGGATCGTGCCCACCCGTATGGGCGCTACGGGTCCCCCCCCTCGAGTGCGGCACGCAATCGTTGTCCAGGTCGCAGCCGTGCCAGTAACCCAGTAGCAACGGGGTATTGGGCCATGCAGTAGGTGCGCTGATGCTGACACGTCTGCTGCCAATCTGAAATACTCTGTATACAATATTGCAAGCCAGCTGCCCTCAAATCTGTAGCAGGCCGGTGGTCTGCGCCAAACTGCAGACCAATGTTCCCTTCAGGGGCTGAAGTATATAATACTGAACGCTTAACTCGACTAACTGCACCAAATAATGTAGTGCCGCTGCAGTGCCAGCTGCTAGCGCCGATGGTTGCCCCATGCCCTGTGACAATCATGGCCGAGCTGCTCTGGCTCAATGTAGTAATCCAAGGGGGCGTAGAACCTGTGGTAGCATTCATCCGTTTCGGCACACATTGCCTCTTCGTCAGCAAGCTGCCCCCAGTGGGCTGCGAAAGCGGTAGCCATTGCCTTGCACAGCCTTGATGGATACTCTTTGAGGGGGGCGGTCCTCCAGCCGTCTTGGCCGTCTCGTCCGTAAGCTCTGGCATGTCCCGTATGTCGGCATAGCTGTCCCCCAGGTACCGCCCTTAGCTCCTGTGCGAGTTCACCGAGGTGTGCCGCCATCAGACATGTTGGTTTTCTCGCAGCCTGCCCAAACTGGCACTGGTCTATGTAGTGAAGTTCGACGCCCGTCTGCTCCAGGAGCCAGAGTGTCTCTGCTCGCTGCCAGCTGCTAGGCGCTTGAGGGCACCAGGTGGCTGGGGCGGGATGCTCGAGTACGGCTGAAACGTTGTGCTGCAGGCCCGTGGTGATGAGTAGTAAAGCTGTCCTGTATAGCTCGTTGGCTAGTGCAATCTGTTGATGCTCCGCTTGACTAGCTGCCTGTATGCCCCAGGGGGATTCATGTGTACGTAGTGGTCGTGGTGCATTCCCCTCGGCGGCATGCCAGCGCGATGGGCGCCGCGTCTCGCCCCCCCCCCCCCCCCCCCCCCCCCCCCCCCCCCCCCCCCCCCCCCCCCCCCCCCCCCCCCCCCCCCCCCCCCCTCCCCCCCCCCCCCTCCCCCCCCCCCCCCCCCCCCCCCCCCCCCCCCCCCCCTCTTCCCCCCCCCCCCCCCCCCCCCCCCCCCCCCCCCCCCCCGCCCCCCCCCCCCCCCCCGCCCCCCCCCCCCCCCCCCCACCCCGGGCGGGCCCGCCACAATACCAAATATTTTGCCCTGTCGTATCGCTGCGCACCAAAACTCGACGACGTCTGGCTTCGTCAGGTCTCCTTTGTCGGGGTCTATCTGCACGTCGATCGATAGTACTACCAAGTTACATTCCCGAATGTTCATCTCGAAATGGTACTGGAAATCCTCGATTCGACGTCTGCCCGAGAAAAGGTGCAGCAAGAACATAGCCGTAGTAACCATGGGCCTGCACGGTGAGAATACGTTTGCAGGTGGTGTCGCTGTCTGGACGTCCGCTGCTGCAGGCGGGGCCGGCGAGAGTTGGAGCTGATGCTGCTCTATGTAGTCGGCCAGCTTGAGCTGTGTGACCTGTTGGGCGGGCACCAGCGCCTTTGTAGCTCCATGCCCCATTGCCTTCCTCGCCGCCACAGCTTCTCGTTCTTCTTCTCGGCGTTCGGCTGCCTCCTGCAAATCCATTGGGACTTCGATTGCTTGGAGGGCCGCCAGGCATTTGGGGCACCTTCTCAGGTGCTTGAGTATGCGCGATCTCGTTATGAAGTTCTTCCCGCACCCAGGGCAGGTAGTCGAAAGGGCAAGCAATTCGGGAAGGTCGTAGCCGATGTGTTCCATGGTGCGATGGCGCTTCCATGCTCCCCGAGTTTTTAATATCTTGCCACACTCATAGCATATGTAGCCACAGTGCTGTGCAGGCGGCAGCCCCTCGAAGTTGGGCGTGGTCATTCCAAACTCTTGCGCTAGACGGTGTAGCTGCCTTTGCCATGCTCGATGACGGTATATGTCGTGCTGCCATGCTTTGTACCTGAGCCACGCACGGGTGATCGTGGCTTGTGCGGCTCGCACATGCTGCGTGCGTAGCCATCGTATCAAGCCCCTGATGTCGCTGCCAATGTCCTCGTCGTCTAGTAGGAAACTTCTTATCCAGTCCAGATCTTCGACGATAAGAGCATTCCAGGCCTTCTCATCCTCCCAAAGTTCGTCAATGAGGCGGTGGAGGATGGGCGTGTCTGCGTGCGCCATTCTGGCCAGGTACATCAGGCGCCGTCGGCGCAGGTACATATGGATCGGTACTTCGTCGCACATCAAGTATATTTCGTCATCCAAGGTATGTACATGTCCCGCGCTGTGTCGCTGCTGTCTTGCGGCGGCCCGCAGGCTCGCCATGTGTCTGCTCTGCAGCATCTGCTTCTGCTGTACTGTAAGTGGTCCCCATACTTCGCAGTCGTAGGTCAGCTTGCTTTGCGCCAGTGCCGTGAGATACAACAGCTTGGCCTTGAGGTCGATGTGCGGCAGGCGGAAGATGGACTTCTTCAAGGGGCCCTCTGCGGATCTGTGGTCTATGATGCGTCTCATAAGGTTCGGCCCCTCCCCGCCATCACTTGTCACAATATTGCCCAATGTGAGTCCCTGGGTCGTGACCTCCGCCGTTGTAACTTCAGTGATGGTTGGCGGCTGACCATCCTCGCGCAGCAGCGTGATGGGATTTGTCTTGAAAATCTTCGCCTTGATATGCTGTTTGGCGTGCCCATCAATATGCAGCAACACTTTGGTCTTCTTGGGGTGTAGGTCATGCCCAAAGATCTTGAGTCTCCTTGCAATGATGGACAATATGTCGAAGATGCTGCTCTCGATTTTCGTGTTGTCGTTAAGTACGCACAGGAATGTCGCGTCGTCCATGAAGGATACTTCTGGCAGGGTCCCCTCCAGCCCTTGGAGCTGGCCTGACGTGACAATGGCTTGTTCGCCCGCCGGTGGTAGTTGTAGTAAGTACCCTCCTGAATGTAGCTCCTGCTCCAGCGGGCCCAGGGCGTGCGCGAAGCTGATGTTGAAGATGAGGTCGGCCAGGCCGTTGCCTGGGCGTGTGCCCTTGCGGCTCTCCGCGCAAAGCTCCTCTCCCCGCACTTGGAAGAATGTCGTGTCGTGTGCTTCTTCTAGCTGGAATCGCAGGTTCTCGTCTACATCGTTGAGTGCTAAGAAGCCTGGTGACGCGATCAGCTGCTGGATGGCCGGCATGAGCCATTCGGGTGGGGCGCCTCCTGCCATCACCTTTAGGAGCCAAGGCTTCTCCCCTTCCCGTCCCAGCACAAATTCTCGAATAACCGAATAAAAGGCCTGTCGTAGATCCAACAGGATGCCGACTGCGCTGAGACGTCTCCGCCTGCAGATCCTGAAGAACGCTTTGATAGTATGGGTGGAGTACGCGCCTGACTTCTTCGGGATTCCGCCATGCTGGGTGACTCTCAGCAGGCTGCTGCAGACCCTCAACGTAGTTGCGCGGAGCCACTTGTGGTAGTGCTTGGCCACGGTGGTGTTGAGGAGGATCGACCTGTAATATTCCAGGAGGGCCCTCGTGCCGCTACCCTTGTACAGCTTCACTGCAATACCTGCTTTAAATTGGATCGGTTCTCGGCCTCGCAGTATCGTCTTCAAGACGACTGGGTACCAGTGGCGGGCCGTCTCCTCAGGTGCGAGTTTGAGGATGTCGTCCAAATTGCCGTCGGGTCCTCCTGCTCGGCCCTTCTTGCCGTCCGCAAAGCTCTCCACCAGATCGTTGAGTGTCATGTGCAGGTACTGTGAAACCTCGTCGGGTGGCGATCTGTGGGTACGGCTGACATTGTAGCGGTCCGCAAGGACGTACCTGTCCCTGATGTCGGCTGACTCGATCTTGGCGAAGTGCTGCAGGGTGGCGCGGCTGATCTCGCCCTGGCTGCCCATGACGGTGCCGTCGGGCTGCTGCATAGTGGGCAGCGCGCTAACATATTTTGGTTTGCGGCCGCCGTGGATCAGAATCTTCTTTGTCAGCTGCCACTCGGTCCTGGCGTCTCTTGCTGTTCTGCTATCCGCCAATTTGCTGCCAAGTTCGTGAAAGTACTGGTTGCGGTCGGTACTCAGCTGGTGTCTGAACATGTCCTTGGTGTGGGCGATGAAGAGCCTCGCAGCGTCATGCGCGTTGCCGAGGCAGTCGGTGGTGTGGCTGAGCTGGCACGCTCCAACAAGGGCTGCCACAGAGCAATACCAGCTATCTTCCACACGGGCATAGACAGGCGCCTCGTGGCAGAGCCTCTTGCGGAAAACTTCTAGAGGTGCTGGGTCCCCGTTGTTCGTGTAGGTCCGCGTGGAGCTCTCAGCGTATCTGCGCAGCCTCAATAGGCGCATGCTGGCCTCTGAGATGGTGACGTTGCAAGGGGTAAGCGGGTCCCGTCCGAAATGCTGCTTCGTCTTCTCGACAAAGAGTCCCGCTGTCTCGTGATAATGGTCGTTGACGTCTGCCTTCCACGGTGGTAAGCTGATGTTGTTCAGGTCCTGCTTGAATGCGGTGATGCGCTCTGGGTTCTTGAGTTTGTTAGTATCCAGTCGCTCCCCTTCGAACTTCGGTGGCGCCCGATGATTTCGCCCACAGCTTCAACTAGCACGGGCATGTGGTCTGTGGTCGTGTCGTAGCCGTTCTGGGCGTAGTTCCTCCTCTGCTTGTTGTGCTCGTTCTTCTTTTTGGCGGTTGGCTTTTGAAAGTCTCTCAAGACAGTGCAAGCCGCGACGCACTTGAACAGGCAGGGAGCCATGGCGACGTAGTCGATGCGGTTGGAGATCCCGTCCTTGTGGTATGTGTAATCGTCGCTGCTCCCGTAGTATGTGTTGACGACGTGCAGGTGGCAGCTGGCGACAGACTCGTGGAATTCGTGTCCATTCTTGTCTGTCAGCTGATTTGGACCTTTCTGGCCCAACCATTGAGTGTCCTCTCCGTCCTTGTGGCTTAGCTTGGCGTTCGCGTCGATGAGCAGGATCTCTGGTTTCCACGTGTCACACAGCTCCCTGAAGTGTTCCCACCAGCCGTTGATGTCCTTGGCCTTCTGGTACGGGGCGTGAGCAACGGCGATGACGTGATGCAACAAAGGAGCCTGCACGCGGACAAAGAGAATCCTGGCTGACGAGTACAGTTTTGTAAGCTGGGACTGCTTGAAGTACAGGTCTTTCCCTTTGAGCTGCCCGTACGGTAACTCGACGTTGAGTAGTAGTGCACATCCCCAGTTGCCGTCCTGCGCATCGCTCTGGATGTTGATAAAACCTTGCCCTGTCCATATGGCCTCTCTACAGCGTGTCTCCTGCAGCCCCGCGACGTGGACATGGTGGTCCAAAAGCTGGGCTCTGACTAGAGCCCCTTTACTGGAGATGTCCAGGTGCAGGTCTGTGGAGGTGAAGTCGCCCACCATGGACTGAGCGTTGTACTGCGCGATGTTGAGCTTCAGCGTGCCCTTGTTGTAGCTATCTGCGGTGAGGTCGGGGATGTGGTCTGCGTCCGCCAGCTGGGGCGAGACGTGCTCCTCGAGCTGTCCATGCCTCCACGGTGGGTACGCATGTAGGTCCTTGCCCGCAGGATTAGCCATCCAAGCCCATTCGAGTGTGCTGGTATACCGTACTATATCGACTAGCTCTTCCGCAGGTGGTGGTGGCGCTGGTTGGAGTGCTGCATATTTTGATAGAAGATCTGCTGCTTCATTCCAGGGTGCGTCTCGATGCGCATGAGTGTGCTCGAAGCTAATGTCCTTTGTGAGCTGTAATTGCTGGAATAATATGCGTGTAAACCTCGCAAGAGGGCGGTTCCTACACGATCTGATCCGCGATGTTCCAGCTGCCGCTCCCAAAGCCGCGGTGTTGTCGCCGATAATGGCGATTTCCTGCTCATCGTCCTCCTGTGTACATGCGATGCCTGCCCAGAGTAGCGCTCCCAATTCGGGGCTGGTGCTGGAGGTGATGTTGTTGGCCATCTCCTCGCTGACAGACAGGGCGTGGTTGGAGTACATGTGCCTGTAGTAGGCAATGCCCTGGTCGTCTTCTCTCAGGTGTACCACTGCCCATGCTGATGTACCAGGTGCTTTGGCACGGTAGGACGCGTCGGTGAAGTAGTAGTGCCGCTTCACAGCCGACGAAGGTCTCGAGGGAGCAAGGTGCTTCACCGCCAGCCTGGTATGCTCGTGCAGGTCGTGCTCTTCGAGGTCATAATGCCATGTCAGCTTCTGGATGTGTTGCTGAAATTGCGTCGGTAGGAACTGTGGGGATCCAATGTTGAGAAAGCGTCGCTGCGTGCTGTTGCTGTCTCTGCGCTGGTCGGTTTTGTGCGCTTGCCCGTGTGTTGCTGGTCTAGTTCTTTGTCGTCGTCTCCTTCTGCGCTCGCAGCGCCGGTAGTCGTCGCTGTACTCGCTGTCCGTGCTGGTGTGTTGGCTAGTGCGTTGGTTGTCTCGGGCGTCTTCCGCCGTTGTGCTCCGCCTGGTTGGAATACGGAAGGGGTGCATGGCTGAGGTTGTACGTCGTTGTGGTGCAGAGATGGATTGTTGCCGCCCCGTCGGCTGCCCGCTAGCTCCGTGGTAGCTCCTGAACGGCAGCATTGCTCGTCGGGGATGTACGTCCCTCTGGGGCTGGGGGTGCTGTCTGGCCTTAGTCGTTGTGTCTGGGAGAGGTTGCTCGGTCTCCAAGTAGTCGGTCGGCTTGTAGGGCTTGGTCCCCGTCCGCGTCGTGCTCCTTTCCCGTGGGGACGGCGGCTTTTGGCAG